GAATTGCTATTATTGCTTAAAATCTTGGTCTTCGATTTAATAAAAAAGAATTTATCTTTGTCAAGCAAATTAATAAATATACAAAGTTCAACTTGGATAACTTGATAGTACTCACGGTAAAACAATACATATATATAAATCAAAATGCTTTGAAATAAAACTCAATCTGAATGGTCTAAAAAATCATATCAAATTCGAATTAAAAGCTCACAAAATTATAATATTTAAAAGTAACATTAAAAAAAGAATACAGATTAACACACAAATACATCACTGGTTGCAAATTTGCAAATTAAAATAAAATAAATTTAACATCTTTCTGACCTAGGTTTCCCTTGTCCTTGCTTTGTCCCACATGTCTTGTCCTTTGTCTTTTTTGTGCATTTGATTTTTGTCTGTATACCTAATGTCACGAATACCATTTATTTATTAATAATTTATTTATATATTTATTTGTGTAGGTGTGTCCGTGAGTGAATTCTTTTTTGTCTCTGTATATAGGTACATGCTTGATAAATATTTATTCATAGTGAATATATTAGCAACAACTCTTAAGCTTTAAGAGCTTAACCAACAAACATGTACCATATGTGTTGTATCCTGTCATGTAAAAAAAATGAATAAAAAATAAATAAAAAATAAATAAATAATGGTATGCTGTACTTTAAATGTTTTAAAAGGACAACCTAAAATGACTCGCATAGAATCTTATGTGGAAGCGCTAATAATGACACGAACAAAGAGGCTGAACACTGTAACAAGCAAACGACAAGTATTTCTTTAAAAAACATTTGTTGATTTGTTGATTTCATTCTTACTCTTCCTTGCAAATACTCACAGGGGTATTTATCGTGAAAGATGGACGGTTCTGATCCTATACAGGAGATCTTTTGATCGACCATTCAGGGGTTTGATAAAAAGCGAGAGAGCAGATGCATCGAGCTGAAGAAGGAGCAGACCTCAACGTTGAAAACAGTTGGTATGCAAACATTATCACCCAATTTCACGTTAGTGCTTTCGAAAAGAAAGGTAAGTCGGCGAGTGGATTGTCTGGGACACTTTTCCTCTGTCGCATGTTTTCAGACAGTCTCTCACCTCTCGCTAGCTCAGAAATGTTAGGCACATTATATATGGCAGCGGTATCAGATTGAAAGAAATTAAGAGCTGATTGTAGTATGGTGCCTACTGCAGAGTAACAAAAGTACTACACATCAGGAAAAGATATTCTAAAACATTTACCAGATACTTCTGACGTTATCGACTTTGAAGTTGGTTTCAGCTTCCAACAGATCAAAATAGCTTTACATGACAAGGTTGGAATGTACTGAATACATTCATTATGTTGTATCCAGTTGTTGAGAGATGTAATCTTGTATTTACTGGCTGTTGGGCTTGGCAAGATATACTTCAATTTGAACTCTACACGAAAGAGACAGCGACGACAGAGAGGTATATATTGGTGGAAACTTATCTGCTCATCTTTTTATTAAAAAAACATGTACAGCTGTATCTAACCCTTACTCATTTCCTTGAATTATTAACGTAAGGTTGGAATTTCCGCGCTGTACAATCTTATATATTTTCAAAAAAGAGATAGTTTCATATGTTTGCGTGCGAGGATCAACATAGCAACCGCCTTTAGTTTGGCTGGTTCATTTGTATCCTCACGTGTTACCGATTCTGATACATCAAGACGTACATGTGCAGTATATTTTTGAAAAAAAAACACCTAACAAGGTTGCTATTGTATTATTTATCGTTTTATATGTGTTTATTGTGAAGTCCTGTAATATTGTGTGGGTGTGTACAGGGTATTCACACAGTTGCCTATATTGACTCCGTCATTGTAAAGGGTATTCACACAGTTGCCTATATTGACTCCATCATTGTAAAGGGTATTCACACAGTTGCTTATATTGACTCCAGCATGTTCCCTCGCATTTAAGTAAAAATGTATTAAACATGCTTTCTGATATATGCATTAAGGTAACTTGTATTATTCATCATAATTTAAGAAAAAACACCAGATTTCTCAAATTTCCAATGAACTGACTGTTATTCTATATGTCCGCGGTGATTGTGTGGGGTTATATATGTTGTTATAAATGTTAATTTGTTTGTAATCGTGTTTGTGTATCTGTATTAGAGGTATGTTCGTTACATGGAGTACATGTGGAGTAAAAGGCTTGTGTTCTGTATCGTTGCAGGATGATCTATCTACAAAATATCACGGCTTTACAATTGCCAATGTTTGGGTGGTTTATTCATCGCCAACCATCTCTTCGGTTTCATAAATAAAGTGACACGTTTCCGTCACATAGAGGGACAGTTTCTAACGGCATGCTTTTTTTAAACATGAATATTAGCCAACTCCTTTAATTGCAGAATGCTGAAAGGCCTGGATCAATGGGACAGCCATTTTGCGCGGGTTTCATTATACTTTTTGCAATGTCAAAGGTGCAAATACTGTGAACATGCCAATACTCATTGACACCCCATTGATGTGGATGACGTCGCTTCTATTGCAACCAAGTCTGACTTCCAAGCGAAGGACAGGTGTACGTGGATACCAGTGCAGTGAATAACACTTTCTTTCTAATTATACAGGACGTATCTGGGTAACGGACATCCGGATCATGCATATACAGAACAAGATGTATCCTATATTGTTTCGAATGGATTTTGGCACCGGAACAGAAACTATAAAGGATTGCAGAAGTTTCCAACAATGGTTACTTTGCAATGTTACATTTAAACTTGAATTAACGTTGTAGTTCAGCTCAACACCCTAATAACTGTGTATCGGCCAACTGGTAATGAGAACCGTTGTGCTGTTTTACTTGGTAGGGTAACAAACCGGACGGACGGTGGTATGATAAGCCACTTATTACATGAAAGACCATGCATCAATGTCATGATGTCATTAAAGAAACACAATTTGCAACAAAAATTGGCGCACGACAAAACCAAAGACAATGTAATGGCGACTATGTGACTTGTCAGTGTGTAACAAAGCAAAAAAATATCAGCATCGCATTATTCAATACAGAGTGTTCAAATCGACATACTAGGACGGATTAAATTCATGATATTCTTTTCTCCAAATTTTTGCCAGTTTCAAGTAAGTTGAATTAAAATAAAATTTGAATAGGGTACTGTCCGAATCTCACCAAGTTGCGTTGACAAAGTTAGCAGAAAGGTAGAAATGTAAGAAGAAACTCTGCCTCAAGACATAACACAGTGTGAAGAAGAAGCGCTTCTAGTAATGGTCTGGTCCAAAAAGGAAGGGAGTCTCTAAAACCTTGTCCAGTATACTAGATAACGGGTGAGGAAGTATATCTGTTCGATAATTGGTCTGGTCCAACCAGGAAGGGAGCCTCTAAAATCTTGTCCAGTATATAATAGAAAATCGGGAAGTGAGTATGAGTATCTAAAATCTTGTGCAGTATGCTAGACAACGGTGCAGTGAGTCTCTTTATTATTGTCCAGTAAACTATACTTCGTGAATGCTTATACTATATCAGTCAGTATGCTATGTTTATTGAAGATGTTCACCAGACCCCTAGGTAATATTGTCCTTAATAATCCTATATTGATGTAAGACAGAGTTTACCCGAACTCACGTGCCTTCGACATGGTATTTCAGTGAGACATCACTTTAAAGTCGGCATCAGATCCGTGCTATCACAAGGGGGCAAATACCCAACATACCCTGTCTCCGATACACACACACATGCACACATACATACAAAACGTGCATGGAGGCACGTCCTTAGATTACCTTAACTGTTAATATGATGTTAAACAAAATAAAACCAAACCCTTGTACTTCGGGAGTAATACTTACAACATAATAAGAACAAGCATTCACATGAGGAGTTTTTATTTTGTTTTTACACTTGCATATATATATATATTTTATAGAAATATTCTTTGTCAAGCAAAGTTCATACAAACAGTACATACCTACACTCATACCAGCTTACACACAGAAGTCCACTTTTTGATCGAGCTAAATAACACAATAGTACGATTCCTGATTGTGACCAATCAGTATAATGTATACAAAATCTAAATCATCTGATTAATATATTTACATCAAAACATCACAGCTGAGTATATATTGCAATAAAAGTGTTCTAACATGCGTATGATCAGTGTAGTGATGTAGACATGTGCACAGTGAGTGGTCGTGAAGACATTTATATCTGCTCATAAGACATGCATACAATCAGTCAAATTCTCGTTTAATTCCTATCCTATTGTAAGGCACAGTAGTTCCAATTTCTTAAAAATCCCCAAACACTTTGATAACATAACTGACGACAATCATTTGTCTGCGTTTCAGAGTTAAACAGAGTTGATAAATTACATATGTAAAACGCTGAAACAATTCGAGGAGATTTTGTATCAGATCTAGTTCTATGAATAAAGAAATAAGGCGAAGAACCTGTTGTAACCGACTTCCTTAATAACTTGTGAAACATTACGTACCTGAGATATGTTTCTAACAAAGAACAGTGTCGACTTTTCGAACGCTGATTTTTATTTCATTTCCGATACAAATATGTTACACGAAAGTTGAAATGGATAAGCAAAAAATTACCATGGGTTTGCTCCCGAGGAAACGATACCCGTACGATAATTCACGACCCTGAATAAAGGTCCAACAAAAGTTGCCCTGGATGTCGGGGGTCGAACCGGTGTTTACCATCACACCGCTGTTAAACGCTCTAAAACCACTGACCACCACGAACCACAACTTCAGGCTAGATATAGTAAAACATTCTGAAATCAAACCGCTCTTACTGTACAAATATATCTATATAAATGTTATCATGAACTGCAAGTGTACGAGTCATATGGCACTTGAAAAATTTGAGATATATTGTTTCTATTTCATACTCCAATGTCAAACTCTACTATAAGTGAAAAATATCCAAGAAGCTTATTTACCAGTGATACTCTAATACATGTTTTAGGNCTAGATATAGTAAAACATTCTGAAATCAAACCGCTCTTACTGTACAGATATATCTATATAAATGTTATCATGGACTGCAAGTGTACGAGTCATATGGCACTAGAAAGATTTGAGATATATTGTTTCTATTTCATACTCCAATGTCAATCTCTACTATAAGTGAAAAATCTCCAAGAAGCTTATTTACCAGTGATACTCTAATACATGTTTTAGTAACATTCGATCACCAGTGACATCTTGATATAAGTACTATTCTTACATAAGTAACATCTGATATTTGTAACGTCCTATTATCAGAAAAAAATTCCTAAATCATTGAGATCCTTATATGCTATCTACAACACCCTGATATAGGTGACATCCGAACATCATTGACATCCGAACATCAGTAAAACCATTTAATCAGTACTAATATAATTAAGCAACATCCTAACATCATTGACATCCTTATATCAGTAACATTATCAGATCCGCAATATCCTGGTATAGGTGACATCCGAACATCATTGACATCCGAACATCAGTAAAACCATTTTATCAGTACTAATATAATTAAACAACATCCTAACATCATTGACATCCTTATATCAGTAACATAATCAGATCCGCAATATCCTGGTATAGGTGACATCCGAACATCAGTGACATCCTTATATCAGTAAAACTATTTTATCAGTGCCATACTTATATCAGTAACATTCTCATATTAGTAACATCCTAAAATCAGTATCATCCTTACATGGGTAACATGTGATATTTGCAGCGTCCTAATATTAGAGTAACCTTAAAAATCATCGACATCCTTATAGCAGTAACATTCTCATATAAGTAACTACATTATATAACTGACATCTCAATTATAATACATTCTTATGTCAGTTACAACGTAATATCAGTAACAGTCTTACATAAGTAACATCCTTATACATGTATAAGTAGTATCCTTAAATAAGTGACATCTCAAATACAAGACGTTCACAAATCTACGTGACATCTTTATATCAGTGACATCCTAATGTAAGTAACATCCTTATTTCAGTAACATTTATAAGTAGCGCCCTCATATAAGAAAAAGTCCTGACATATATCCAAGATATCTTGATATTTGTAATAATTTTTGTGACGTGATTTTGACAAAAATGCGGTGAAAGAAAAATTTGAGTGAAAACATTTTTGAATTATGTGTCATGCGTAGCATTATCTTTTTTTTATTATTATTATTAACATATTTCTCGATTTACAAACATTAGCAGTGTCGAGACAGTGATGTAGTTATATTTTCTCAGTTTTGTTAAAACTATGACACAATAAATGTTTGTGATTAAGAGAATTAAGAGTACTGTTGTGGTACTTTATACACAGGAGGTATATACCAACTGTACTACCATTAATTTGCTAGGTAATATTCCTTATAGAAACCAGTATAGCGATCACACAAATAATGTAGAAACCTATGTAATTCCATGTGTACTCAGGATACCACTATTCAGTAAAAACAATGTTTAGTAACATGTCTATAGTGACACATTTAAATTCAGTTCAATATGATATAGTGTACTCCAGCCAATCAGTATTTAGCAAACAACAGAACCCTTAAGTGACACAAAACACAATATAGTACTCTTGTTTTAGGAGATCCATAAACAGAAACCTGTTGTCGAAATCCATAAACAGAAACCTGTTGTCGAAATCCATAAACAGAAACCCTGTTGTCGAAATCCATAAACAGAAACCTGTTGTCTTATTATGTTAAAAGTTATTATTTATAGGTAAACATCTAAGCTTCTTTGTGACCTTAAACAAGCTGCCTCTATCGGAAGCTTTACATAGTTATCAATCCCATCGAGACAGAAACAAGATTGTTTCTGAAACTCTGTGAAAGGGATTCGGCATATCACAGTAAAACTAATAATTAATCCACTGCTGCTTTCAAATATGAGCAAACACAAATCTGTCAACTCTACTGAAGATTTCCAGAAATTCTCTGACGAGAGGAAGCGATAAAACTATCTTAGGAATATTCTTAATCATCAGACATTTAAAAAGACCCAAAAAGACCTACCAGATTTGGGTTAATATTCCATCTTAGACAAAACCCATCGGTACGCCACATATACTGTATACAGCGAATACCCTGATTACACAGCAGACCACCTGTCGTATAAGACATCATGAATTGAAATCTTATAACATGGATTTCCTTGGTATAGTATTATACATAAATTTATCTCACACTGAGAACATTGTCCTCTCTGTAAAACATTTCATTTCAAAATTATTTTATTGTTGCAATTAACAACAGGATTGGCACAGGCATTGCCTGTAAATCACGTTGAGTATACAATATTGTAAATGTATATTCAAGTTTGTTTCACCTTCTCAAGCCCTTCTTTCCCCTCACTCATTCTGGAAGTGAGACAATTTTATTAGCCTTCATCCAGCAACAGACATCAAATGACAAATAATTACAGGAGGCATTGTAAAATTATATGAATACCATCAAAAATAGTATAATTTATGCAAATAATAAGTGCAATAAAATTTCAATAATATATTAAAGCTTACCACACTGTCCTTTTCCAATGAAATCACTTGTAAATCATTGTAACAGGACCACTGGTAGTTATAATAATAAAATCAGCACATACTATGCATATACATATATATTAAAACGAGGAATCATAATAACAAACGTATATTCATATGTGGTAAATATTCATAAAACTTTGAATGAATTCTCCGGGGACTTGACGGGCTCGTGTTATCACACTTAACTTTTTATTTTAATAGTAACAAAATTAACATTTCCTCAAGATTAAAGCATGGCAAAATAGATCATATGATTACCTATTAATAGCAACTTCATTCAAGACAAGCAGGTTCTATTAATTTAGTAAAATAACCAAACAATTAAATATAGAAATGTTCCACTAATTTAGTAATAACCCAAATAATAAAATATTTTCCAAAGAAAAGAAAAAAGCCCCGCACTGAAAAATGCATACATGTGATAATATATGTTGTATAACCTGTCTAAATTAAACCCGACGGATCCGGACACCTGTACAATACCTATTGTATGTATTACACTTTCGGTGGGCTTACAGAACATAGTTCCAAGTTGTCTCAAACATAGTTATTACAGTTAAAAAAATATTTTTTTGATAAAAAGGAAGAAATTACATTTAGAAAATAGAACAGATAAAGATGTAGTTTGTATTTGTATTTAGTAAATATATATATAAAGATAATCACGACAGGACAATGAATTAAAACTTCTTGCAGACAAGGTAGTGAATCGTGTACTGGGGTTTCCACTTATTGTCATCTTGTTTAATGCCATATTTCGGCTAATATAATGTTTTACTTAAACAGAAATTGTTCTAATATATGATTGATGCAATCACACTGTGGATGACTTTTCGGGAGAAGGATCTTTTGATATGCATTTGTTGGCCTTGACTACATGTAATTTGTAATGTTACGATAGGAAGTAATGTACAGGCAATATCTGAAATCCGATCCGTCTACTTCGATTTTATCACTAAAAGTACTTCATTCTCAGAGTGGCATATTTTTTTTGATGTCAATTCAAATTTTATATCACATTTAATCAAATGACAATTAGAGGAAAACATTATACATGGTTTTGGGTCAGACTTCCTTGTCCAAGTGCTTCTTACTTTTGATAAGTTTCATCATTTTACATCCAAAACATCTTATATTAACTAAATACAAATTTCAATATTGGAATTATTATTAAACACGATTACAAAAAAAACAACATATTTCCAAACATTTCCCCAATTAATCACACACCATGTGTTTATTTTCTTCAGTTGAATCTGTGATATCCAGGTTTTTCTGGAACACTCTCAGCGTTTTTGTAAGCCATTTCTTCCTGTGGCTGCATAGTGGTGTAGAGTGGATTGACCGCCTCATGGGGGCCTGCTGCTCCTGCCACTGGTCGACCCTCTCTGATGCTGTCATAGTGTCCCTCATTCTGGAGGTTCTGTTTTGTGTTGTCGTCGGCAAGGTTGATCTGGTCCAGCTTCAATGGGTTTGTGTTTGGCATGGCTTCACCATTTCCGGCATGAAGACTGGGGTTGCTGTATCCCTCGGCCGGGGACGTGGCCGCCGCACCCCGATTGTCACTAGCGTTGAAGTAAACGTTAGGCGAGGAACGATAACGACCTTGGACATTCTGTTTATCTGGTGAAAAGATCCTCCTAAAATTGCAATATCAAAAGAAATCATTAATTATAAATCAGATATCATTATTAGAATGAACGAATTTATAGTATTTTGAAGAATCACAAATTTAAAACTATGTGTTCAAATTTTCAATCGGGTTTTTAAAAATGAGACCGAGGTACCATCATATTTCCTTAACTTACCAATCATACCTGTGTAACAAGTTGTAAACTAACTAGTTTCTGTACTCAATCATACATGTAATAATACTCTATAGATGAACAGTTTCTTAAATAAAATCGTATATATATATATTACTCCAAATATATGATTTCCTTTGTGTGATATATGAAGATGTACTAGTTTCTTAACAAAATTTCATTTTACTGCAAATATTACTGTACATGTCACTACATGTCACTGTACATGTCACTACATGTCACTACATATCGCTGCACATGTCACTACATGTCACTCTACATGTCATTACATATTACTGTACATGTCACTTCATTTCACAGTTCATGTCACTACATGTCACTCTACATGTCATTACATATCACCGTACGTGTCACTACATGTCACTACATATAACTGCACATGTCACTACATGTCACCACATATCACTGCACATGTCTCTACATGTCACTACATATCACTACATATTACTGTACATGTCACTACATGTCACTGTACATGTCATTACATATCACCGTACATGTCACTACATGTCACTACATATCACTGTACATGTCACTACATGTCATTACATATTACTGTACATGTCACTACATGCCACTACATATCACTGTACATGTCACTACATATCACTACATATTACTGTACATGTTACTACATGTCACTGTACATGTCATTACATATCATTGTACATGTCACTACATGTCACTACATATCACTACATATCACTGTACATGTCACTACATGTCACTACATATCACTGTACATGTCACTACATGTCATTAAATATTACTGTACATGTTACTACATGTCACTGTACATGTCATTACATATCACTGTACATGTCACTACATATCACTGTACATGTCACTACACGTCACTTTATGCCAGTACTTGTTAATGTATATGTCATTTCGATTTGCTATATCGATAACTCTTCATTTATGATTACATTTGAACAACCGTTATTGTTCATTGTTACCTTTTTGATTCTGTACACGTCACCACTGATATTGTAATTGTTCATTGTTTATGAAAATGTTGCTGTGAGCGTAACTAAGCGTCATAGCTGTTAATATTTGCACACAATAAAGTATAATGTAATATATTTGTACCTGCGGAAGAAATAAAAGGCCACTGCCAATGCAATGAGGATGACGAGGAGCGTGACGACGACGCCGACTGCAGCTGTGAGACCGGCATTTGAGCTTGCTTGTGTCAGCTTTTCTGGTTCGACAACTGAATGGAATAATAATACAGAATGACTGTACTGGAAGTAACAACATTGAGTATAACCAGGAGCATAGTCGAGGACCATAGCTCAGAGAAACCGGCAAAATTACTCTCATAGCAAGTTGACACTTGTTATAATGTTTTATGTGATATTTTCATATAGGCTAACAATCTGTAGCGATTATTTCAGAAGGAAGATCGTCATATCTTGTAGTTGTGCTTGCAGCCATCGCAATGTTCGTCTGCTCTGCACAGTTAGTTCTTCAGGTCTATTACAAATTTACTTCCGAAATCAACCAATGAAAATCAAGATTGTTAACAAAATAATAAAGATACCCAATAGCACTTTTATCAACAGCACTTTTATCAAGCAATTTGTTTTAACAATTTCATAATAGACATCGTATATGATGTCTTCTATTTTACATTTATCGCCATGTTTAGGACAATATAGAATGCATAGTAAGGGTATTAACATATGAAGAATACTGGGGAACATAATAGAATAAATGCGTGAGGATGAACGTTAAGACACACATAAAGGGTATGGGTATACACTATTTGTTAACAGATGCAGTATGCAAAATAACAACAACACCACACCATAAAGCCGTATTGTCCTTCTAGGATTTATCAAAGATGTTAGGGGCCAAACTGATGTAAATTCCAAATAGAAGCATTTAACAAACCTCCTATAAACAGATACTTACCTTTCGTTAATCCACAGATATTGTTGGATTTTTTGTCCCAGATTCCGTCTGGTAAACAATTGACAAAGTCCACTAAAGGACTGTATCCAGCGTTACACACGACCTCACAGGATGTGCCTGCCTGGTAGGAACATCCCTTGAAAGCTCCGTTTGGTATAACACTGTTACATTTCACTCCTGCAAACAGTTACAAACGCAATAGTGTAAATAAGAAATTCTTCGGATTGCAAACGTTATCACGCAAGAAAGAAAACATTGGATTACTTAATATAATTTGAAACCATGCCGTGTATTTGGAAACTGTCTGCGACAATTTTACAAAAATGGAAACAGATAAATATGGAGCGCGATAAATATGTAATTGTTGATGCTATGTTCTAATATATCTTCCGTACCAGATTCTGGATAGAGCTATGTAGGGATGAAGTAGATATTAGATAATGTCATATTCCATAACTATGATTCAATGGCGTCACACTACACAGGAAGGTAAGCATATCATTTCCCCCACAAACATTATATGTCTATTATTTGGCAACCTGACCACAATTTATACACTCCTGTGGCCTGTAGTATACTTTCCATATACTCCACACCGATAAATTGGTTTCATAAGGTATATAACAAGGAAACAGATTTCAAATGCTATTCTCTTACATACCATAGCATGCACAGACAGTAGATGTTATTTTCAATTTGGCAATTATTTGTGTTTATTTTATCTTAACACTATGATATACATGGGCAATATATGATGTTTATTCTAGCCCCACAACATAATATTCATAGGCAATATATGTTGTTAATTCTAGCGCACACATCATCATACACATGTACATGGGCAATATATGGTGTTTATATAGCCCCACATTTTAATATAAATGGGCAATATATGGTGTTTATATAGCCCCACATTTTAATATATATGGGCAATATATGGTGTTTATATAGCCCAACATTTTAATATAAATGGGCAATATATGGTGTTTATATAGCCCCACATTTTAATATAAATGGGCAATATATGGTGTTTATATAGCCCCACATTTTGATATAAATGGGCAATATATGGTGTTTATTCCAGCCCAAATAGACATTTGCAATATACAAGGGTAATATACATGGGCACGTATATGCTGTTTATTTCAGCCCACCACTATAAAATACATGGGCAATATGTGATAAAGATAGGCAACATATCGTGGTAATTCGAAAGCGCATATCATTATATACATGTACATGTACTAAGGCAATATATAATGTTTATTGCAGCCCAGCACTTCAATATACCTGAAAAATATAGGGTGATTATCCAGCCCCACACTTTAATATACATGGAAAATATAGGGTGTTTATTTCAGCACCACACTTTAATATACTGTACATGGGAAATATAGGATGTTTATTCCAGCCCCACACTTTAATATACATTGGAAATATAGGGTGTTTATCTAGCCCCACGCTCTTTAATATACATGGGCACGTATATGCTGTTTGTTTCAGCCCACCACTATAAAATACATGGGCAATATGTGATAAAGATAGGCAACATATTGTGGTAATTCGAAAGCACATATCATTATATACATGTACCAAGGCAATATATAATGAGTATTGCAGCCCCGCACTATATACCTGGGAAATATAGGGTGTTTATCTAGCCCCACACTTTAATATACATCGGAAATATAGGGTGTATATCTAGCCACACACTTTAATATACATGGGAAATATAGGGTGTTTATCTAGCCCAACATTTTAATATACATGGGAAATATAGGGTGTTTATCTAGCCCCACACTTTAATATACATGGGAAATATAGGGTGTTTATCTAGCCACATACTTTAATATACTGTACATGGGAAATATAGGATGTTTATTCCAGCCCCACACTTTAATATACATTGGAAATATAGGGTGTTTAGCTAGCCCCACACTTTAATATACATGGGAAATATAGGGTGTTTATCTAGCTCCACACTGTAATATACATTGGAAATATAGGGGGTTTATTTCAGGACAACACTTTAATTTACTGTACTTGGGAAATATAGGATGTTTATTCCAGCCCAACACTTTAATATACATGGGAAATATAGGGTGTTTATCTAGCCACAAATTTTAATATACATGGGAAATATAGGGTGTTTATCTAGCCCCACACTTTAATATACATTGGAAATATAGGGTGTTTATCTAGCGCCACACTTTAATATACATGGGAAATATAGGGTGTTTATCTAGCTCCACACTGTAATATACATTGGAAATATAGGGTGTTTATTTCAGCACCACACTTTAATATACTGTACATGGGAAATATAGGATGTTTATTCCAGTCCAACACTTTAATATACATTGGAAATATAGGGTGTTTATCTAGCCCCACACTTTAATATACATGGGAAATATAGGGTGTTTATCTAGCCCCACACTTTAATATACATTGGAAATATAGGGTGTTTATCTAGCCCCACACTTTAATATACAT